GCATCCCAGGAGATGTTCCTGGTTGTGGTGTCTTAGGTAAAGCTGAAAATGTACAATTGCATATCAGTGTAGTGAGTCACATACTGTCTAAGACTAGGTGTGATTATCAGTATTTTTAGTGCACTTCAGATGTAATGAAAATATGTGGGAGACTGTACAGATAGCTATAATAATCCATATGAAAAAGAGATGGGATAACATCACCAATGTAGGTGATCAGTGTTTACGCCCTAGTAAATCTATCCCTTTGCTCTTTACCTTGGTTCACAAATGTTAAGATGGACCAAGCTTCACAAATTTTAAGTTTTACAAGAGAAGCACAGGCATCTGAGAAGATCAAGAAGGATATTTCCATTATTCTTCTTTTTCTTGCTTAGTCCTCATGGTTTGAGTCTATACCTTACTTTGCCCATCTTATATTATTATTAGTCCCAGGGAGAGAGGATATGTCCTATTCGGTTTACAATATTCATAACTCTTCCATAAAATCAGTGAGACATAAATATGCTTCATCTTGGCTGGACTGTGTCTCTTATCTTTTAACAGGTACATCTTATTTGGACAATAAAGTGAAATATTCATCCATAATTCAGTTATTTCAATAAAAAAGGACATTGTACTGTTTGTGTGGTTTATTCTATGTTGTAACATTCCACATCAGCGGTACAAAAAATAACATTTATCCTTTCTTAAGCACAGATTTGCTTATTTATAAGAAATCATATAAGCAATTAATTCCTTTCTTGCATAGGAGATTTCTTGATATCAGTAGCCCATCAAGCATCTTACTTTAAGTATGTAAAAGTAACAATCAAATCATATTCTCTTAGCCAGTCTTTATTGTTAGGAATTCTGTGATGGAGTACTGAACAAGAAATCTACATAATGAGTTTAGATACATCAATTGCTTTAGAACATTTAAGAAAACTCTCCCATCTTAGCTGAAGATACTTCATTTACTACTTCAATATCAGACAACTCCTAAGGTTATAAACAAGCCTAAGTTCTTGATTCCTATAAGGTGAAATTGAGAACTTCCAAAACCACTTAGCAAATTCTAAAATATTGCACAACCTCTAAGCTCTAAAGCATCACATTAGCAGATTATCTCTTGTATTAAAGAAGATAAAAGAAGCCCCTGAAGTATTTAATCATATGTATGATTTAGATATTTAACAATCTGAGGTTAACATTAATATAATAAAAGCCATGCAAAATTTGCTATTAGCCTGGGTACCTTACCTGAGTTCCACAGTTCTTATATTTGGTGGATTGAGTGAAAGCCAGCTCTAAATTTATAGTCAAATGACAATATGCAAAGTAGCTTACAGTTAGATCTGCTCATTTCTGGTTTAGCTTCTTCCACCCACACTGTAGCGGTAAAGGCAGCAAATATTGATGGATTAGGATGCACAACATATTATATGATTTATATGGCTGTTAATATCTAATGTGCAGCATATTTATATCCTTCCAAGATATGTTGTAACATTCTTCTTTCTAACTGTAGATGCATTTACTAGCTCTGCTATTTTTACGTAGGTTAAATATGCAGCAGATTTATATCATTTTTTATCATCAACAATAAATGCTTAACTCTGAATGTTTACTGTCTGAAAAAGTTAATTGGAAATGTCAGAGAAAGTTGACAGTTTATTAGTGAGCCTCAATGCCAGATGAATATCTAATTATCAGAAAGCTGGTAGCATAAATAACCTATTTTAAATAGTCTTTGTTTATGGATTGACTGAACAATGTACATAAACACAACTTTTAAAATGAAAAGAGGCAAACTGTGTAAGAAATTGATCGAAGAGTAGGATCTTAGCAATTCCCCACCCCACCCCAACCTGGTTGCCTTCCCAACAATGGGTTTCCAGTCATGTTTGCAATTCCAAATATATAGCTGAAACTCTATGGGGATTGTGGGAATTCCATCTGGGCAGAAAACAGCAAGCAATGAAACATTAAACACCACTGATCCCAGCACTTCTCAGGCCTAAATACTAACCAGATCCCAAGTGGTTTTCCACTTACTAGATCCCAGCTGGTTCCATGGTTTTCCAGTAAGCCGCAGACAATAGCAGAGGCAATAGCTGGAGTGGTGGGGATAAGAAAATGTATGACTAACCTGAGTACAGTCTAGACCATATAAGAAATGGTAATAATAATTCCAAGCAAGAAAATACATGGAATGACATATTATCAGTCAAGATTTCAATAGAGGAAATAGCAAGAACAAAAATGAAAATGAGAGGGTTTTTTTAGAAAAAAAAATTGATTTTAGAAAAATCAGGAAATTTTTCAGCTAAGAAAGGACTACTGTCCTTAAAACTAATAAGAAAAGATTTCTAATAGTCACAAATGAGGTTAGGTGGAGAGACTACACTGAAACCTTTTATAACTGGGACAGTGGAATGAGAGAAACATTTGTAGAGAGAGAATAAATTCAGGAGCTGACTTTTCTAGAACCAAGGCACAAGACATACATACATACATAGTAAACCAGCATTCAAATAGGAAAGGACCAGGTACAATTGAATTATTCCAAGCTATAGAAGAAAATTCAGTTAAAGTATTAAGAAATATGGAACGAGTGTGCTTGACCTTGAGACTAGAAAAGATTGATATGTACCTCTGCTGAAGAAAGGATATGCACGAGAATATACAGATTATACCACTGCATTAATTCCTCATGCAAGCAAACTTTTGCTTAAGATCCATCTTAAGAAGCCATCTATATCTGATGACTGATGACAAATAAATTAACTGATCCCTTAAGACAATGACTGGCAAACAGAAACTAATACTTGAAGCAGATGATGCACTAGAAAAAAAAAAATTTAAGTAAACTCATTCTGAAAATACTGCAATGAGAATATAGACAACCCACAACCCTTGAACCAATTTCAAATCCTCTGTGCAACAAATCATTTTGCACCTTCAATTGAGGTTTCCCTGCAGCTTAGAAGTGAGAGTATGAGAAAGACTATAATCTTCCTGCTTTGGGGGCTGAGCCTCACTCAGTGTCTAAATAAGCCCTGTCCATTTTGTAGTTCCTCAGGAACTGCAGCCCTCTTCATGCACTAAAGAGGAGGAATACACAGCATTCACAAATGCAAAGGTTATTAAGCTGTAGAACTTTGCTGAGGATGCATCCCTCCAAGTACCGTCAAGGAACCATGGCAGGAAAGGGATACATCTCCATCTCCCACTTGTGTGCACACCCCAGGCATCTGTTTGGCTGGTGAAAAACAACAGACTGGATTAAGATGGGCCCCTGATCCTGCAAGGCTGTTATGCACATATGGCTGATTTACATGGAAATTTGTACAGGCAGGGACAGGTAACAACCTTCATTTGTGAGTTCCCCTTCAATGGATTTCTTCAAGCATCAACTATATATGGGTATGAATGCTTTAATTCAAATTCCTATGCAGGGAGATGGACTTGGTACTCCATATAACTCCTCCTAATTCTATTTTTTGGTTTTTTGTGGTTTGGTTAAAGCTTAATATGCTGAATGCTCATTTCCTCTGTCTATTCATGTATGGGATTTATATAGCTGCCCAACTCACAAGTTGGCATCCCAGGCAGTGTACAGCAATAAAAGAGTTACAATGTACCCAGTAACAAAACCAGCCAGGAATCAACGATAAAACACAGAGCTGGGGCACAGCAACATATACTATACCTCCCAGGATGAGCTCATCTAACATCCTTGCTCCAGCGCCCAAGGGAACAGCCACATCTTCAAAGCCTTCCTGAAGGCTAACAGCGTCAGGCCCAATCAAATCTCAAAGGGAAGATCATTCCACAGGGCAAGTACAACAGAAAAGTCACACCTCCTAGGTCCCATCAGATGACATTGTTTCAAGATAAGTTCCTGGAGCACGCCCATTCTGTTGGAGTACGTAGGATAGGCAGAAACAACTAGAGTTTATCTATTGGCATTTCTAAACTGTCCCACTCCCATCAGACTCTGGGCAGTGAACAGTAAGACAAAACCACAAGAAATGCAATAAAAACCCTACTAAAAACCCTCATGGCTTCCCCATTCAGCTTGGGATAAATTCATTCTAATCTGCTTGCAAAAAGCCAGGAAGTTGGGAGCTCCCTGTACCTCTGGTGGGAGAGTGTTCCATACAGTACAACGGAAACTACAGAGACGGCTTGCCACGTACCTCAGAAAGGCAAAGGGTGGGGACTCTCAGCAGGCCCTCTTGTGATGACCTAACCAAAAAGGCAGATTCAGTTTTGGCTGAGTGATATAATTGATGTGGCACTGTATAGGTCTTTAAAAGGTAACAACCATCTTTTTGAACTGGGCTTGGAAACCTGGTGGTAACTAACAAAGTGACTTCAAAACAGATGTTATTCTGTATTGGTGGGGTTGACCTCTCAATGCTCCAGGTACTGTTTGTTATACTAGCTGTAACGTCTGGATCATCTCCAAAGCCAGCCTCAAATACAGTGTTTGGCAATAATCCAGATGAGTGGTCATTAAGGAGTGACTTTCATCAGGGTAACCCAGTCCAAGAAGGGCTGTAGTTGGCACAGCAGTGGAAGCTGGATAAAGCCCCCCTGACCACAGCTTTCATCTGCCATTTAAGCAGGAGTTGCAAATCCAAGAGTCACTAACCAACCTTCAGGGGGAGCATGACCCTGTCTAGAGAAACTACTGGGATTTATGTTATTGGGTGCCATGTTGTCTATTGAACAGCACGTCCATCTTGGACAGATTTAACCTTGTTTTGCTCCATTCTGATCCTCACCGCCTCCAAGTATCAGATCAAAAACTTCACAGCATCTATTTCAAAACAACTAGGAAAATGACATTGTGGATTCTTTCTAGTTTAATAGTTTTATTTTTTGACTTCTTGTGGGCTACCAACTATAGTGGCCTAATGGTCAAAATGGATTGTAGATAGGGTTTCAGATCAGATATGAAACAATGATCCTATAAAAAGCCTGATTCTTTTAAAAAATAAAGCTACCTCTGATGCCAATATTCTGAAGACTTTATTTGAATTCCATTATCAAGCTAATTTTAAAAAATAATTATCCACCAAGTATTGAAATTTACATAAATTGCAGATATCACACAGAATTTTTAGCAAGCAAGGTAGAAGGTCCAATTCCAATTGCACACTGCACTAAGTCTGTAACTTTAGTTATTACGCCAAGCCTCTAGCTTACCAGCTATCTCTGTACATGGAGGGCCTACCTTATATTTATAGAAGCAAGCTAACAAGTTGATAGAAATATAATTTAACAGTTCAAAGTTTTAGAAGTGATAGTTATACTGTACAACATGAGTCTTCAACATATAGCAGTTGATAAGAAAACAATGTATTTACAAAGGTTTCATATGCAAATCACTTGTAACAGACATGCTGCACATTCTTCTCCAGATTCATGAAAACCTCATTTAAGGATCATAAACAATTTTCTCTCTATATCATAAGGATCACGCAAATAATTGCTTATATTTTATTAGTAAAAGCAACTGAGTATGTACAGAGATTTTGGCTTATTAAAAGATTTTAAAATCTTCCATTTGTGTTTGTACTTTGTTGGTAAGATGCAAAAACAGCTTTCTGGTGTGGCATTTCATGAAGACAGAAGTCAGTGCTTTATTTTAGGGCATTTCATCCAACATCTTGGAGATGTCACTGGACATATTAACTGAGCACAACATGGCGATCAAATACAGATTTACGCTGCTCTTGGACTTGGCGTTTCCATCGCTGCTGGGCATATTCAACTTTGTTCAACATGTTGGCACGACTTCGGGAACGAGCCAACACATCATGAGCATTTGCAAAAGGCTGGTGATCCTGTAATGAAAAAATATTTTTATTAAATATTATTGCTCAGTATGCCATTTTTCCAAACTAAAAATACATTGCTAGACATATCCTAATTATACACACACACACACACACACACACACCCCAAACTAAATGGATGACAAAACTAAAATATATTACTTTTTGTAGAAGGCTATATATAAATTAACTATATTCTTAATTATAAATCAAGTCCTCTCCAGAGGAAACCAGTACATAATATATTCGTTTACACATATACAGTCCTCTCTTTACATCATGAGGAACAATTAAAAGTTTCAATATCCACAGTTGGACTTAAAAAATCAATAATTAATTTGCGGAGCTGGGGATGGGCAACTTCCAAGGAGTCCAGGTCCTCAGCTCAGCCTCCTGAACTCTGGAAGGCTAGAAGAGACCCTGGAGAAACATGGCAAAAGTACCAGGAGTATGGACAATTTTGGGAGGGCTTCGTTTTGTACATTTTAAGGGCAGGAGTAGAAGGGGGAAACTTCTGGGAGGTAAACTGCTATCTTCCCCACTACTGAGCTCTCTTTCAGCCTGAAATCACACTGCTATAATTCAGCTTTTTTGCCACCAAATTGCAGCAGAGTATCTCAGAGTGCCAGGAGCACAGGTTGCCTATTTCTGCTATAAAGAACCAAAGGCATGTTGTCCATGAAGTTTATGCTGGGTGCAACATTTTTTCACACACATGCAGGAATTTGTGAGAAAGTCAAAGCAGGTAGTGAGATTTGATGGTGAGCTAATTGTTACCATAAGAGAAGGGTAAATCACAGTGTGTGCGCCGATGTGTATGTATTTATTTGTGCCTTCAAGTCCATTTTATTTTTTTGGACTCATGGTGACTGTCTGGACTAGTACCTTTCTTGGAAAGACTTTTTTAAAGTGGTTTGCCATTGCCGTTCTTCCTAGGGCTGAGAGAGTGATTGGCCCAAGGTCACCCAGCTGGCTTCGTGCCTAAGGCAGGACTAGAACTCAGTCTTCTGATTTCTAGCCTGATGCCTTAACCACTGGCTCTAAAAACCACAGTAAGAATACAATGGAGGGCATGGTAAAGCAGCAGAATCAGTACCATTATGTATGTCTAAGAATCATATGGATTTTGTTAACACTGAAAGGTTAGGAATTCCTACAGTCTTATCCAAGAAGATAATATACTCTGTAAATGTTCTGGAGTTTAGATTCAAAGAACAGCGTACCATGCTCAATGCAATCATGTGTCTTTCTCAACCATCTTTTTTTCATGTATTTTATATTACTCCCCCATAAAATCAAGATGGTCAGGGAATCTTTACAACATCATATAATATGACACGGGTTATCACAAGCAGAGAGGGGAGAAATAAGCAAATGTTGATAACCTTCATTCCCCTGTGGAATAAATTATATTCCATTTGCTCATGTGAATTTTTACATCCAAGCTACAATATACGTGAAAGCACTCAGTTCTTGCATTATATCAACTACTAATAGCACTATATATGATTTTCCAAGACAAAGAACAAAAAGACAATAAAATAATTTTGGCTATTCAAACAACAATCACTTGAAGAGTTTGATATTAGATCAGAGGATCAAGCACTAGTGGGATGTTACGCAATCTGCCTGCAAATATAAAATAATGGCCAGTGGGAGAACTATTTAGCCCTATATATCAGCAATGGAGGGCACAACTGCAGGATGTATGATTCACTGTCCTCCTAGAAGGAATAACTGTTAGAAAGGATGACAATCTAAATCCATCTACTGGGAAGAATAGCTAGTGCTCCAGTACTTTTTTCTCCCTTTCCTTTTTTTGCAACAAGTATACTGCAGTATGAACCTACAGACATGGATTTATTGTATCTTTTGGTATTGGTACAGCACTTAGAATTATAGTCTTCTTACTGTAAGATGGCATTCAAATTTAAACAGCCAGTGCTTTATGGCTCCACAAAGTCTCTGTGTTATTTACCAGCAACACCTATTGTGAAGTTGTTTGGAATATTCACTCCAGGATGTCAAATAATACCAACACACATTAAGTTTACATTCAATATCTTAATAAAAAGCAAAAATACAGCTGCTTAGATGACAAAATACCAAGACAATTATGTGTTTATATTAAGCATTCAAATCACTCTGTTAAGCATATGAAAGAATAAATGCAATCCATAAACATGGGCATTTACCATCAAATGCTAGTATTTAGACTTTAAAATGTTTTGAACACTATGTTTGAAGATAAGATTTAGAGAAGGTCATGCATATTATTTACATAATGATTTTTATATTTCAAACCGCTTAACACGTTTATCAAAACTGATAGAATCTTCAAGACTTCAGCATTAACAAAACAAAAACCCACCAAACTGGGAATCTGACATGTTTGAAGAAATCATGGTGCTATAATCAGCAAGAACAACAAATAAAACTACAGTACAAGAAAAGGTTCCTGTATAAACCCCACATGGATACCAGGAATACATTTATGTTTCTACTGAAATTCACAAGAAAGTTATCTCCAGATATAGAAGAAATCATTGAACAACATTGTTCCTTATCGTATTTTGAATTTTAAAGTAAAATAGTTCTAGGAACAACATGGTTTCATAATGATATTGCAGCAGAGTAGATAGGACAGAGAATGCCAATAGTACATGGCCACAATATACACAAGCTAGCAGAAGAGCATCTGCTAGCAGAAAAGACTTCTTCCACTCCCATAACCCTTTCTCTTTTGGACAGTTTGGGAACCCTCTGGAAAAGATACATAGGGTGTCACAGTAGGTTAGTAAAGGCAGTTTCCTAAGCAAGAGTTAACTATTATTTATGCAACACTGGATATAGCCCACTAGAATGCATCAGCAATAATAACAGAAATGCCTATACAAGCATTTAGAACCAGGGATTTTAATTTTTTTCCATGGGCTTCATTGAATTTTTCCTATATATTAGCATACTGCAAATAAAAGGAACTATATTCTATGCTTCAAAGATTGTAAATGATGCATATGACATAACCTGCAAAAATTTAAGAAGTCAAGGATCTCAAGTTTCAATTCTGTTTACAAAAATAGTTCAAACCAGTGAATATAAACATAAAGAGTCATAAGAGTTAAGTTTGGCAAGGCCACAATATTAAGTGGAATATTTAGAAGAACTTGAGATAAAATGACCAAACTATACCATGTAGCATAATTCCTTGTCTGTCAGATTGTTTCTTATTTCACAGTTCAATTTTTCTTTGCCCGAATTTCTTCTCTTGATACAAAATTCTATGTTTTTAAAATGTCTTTTGACTCTAAGAACATACACACAGAATATTCTGCTTTTCAAGTATCATGAAATCAGTACTGAATCTTACTTACCACACCCAAAAATTTGAGCTGCTTTCAAAGTTTGTTTATGAATTACATAAAATTTGAGGCAGTCAATATTATACAATAGTTAAACCAACATTTAATTAAATTCTAAATTTTGTTAGGCATTCAGAAATAGGTTGAATACTATGGTTAATAATATTTTTCTAGCAATTATTGTATCATCCAAACTGAGGGAAAAGGCAAATAGGAACACTTTCCCTCATAACTATGCCAATTAAATCTAATGATTCAAATTTAGAGAGGTTAGGTACAATAAAAATGTCCAGTTGTTTCCAAATTTAATTTGATAATGAGAACTAGTAAAACTTCCAGCATGCAGAATATTTATATATTTTCTGCATTATTTTATGTTAAAAACCCTAATATTTAATCCATCTTTCTGCTTATTGCCACTTCTTTGTTACTACTGAACTGAAGCAGTTAAATTTACATCTCAAATCCACACGCATTGTAATAACTCAAAAATTAACTCTTCAACAATCACCCGACTTCTAAATTGCTAGTTTTTAGTTCAGATCATGAGATAAAAATCTAATTATTTTTCAAGTGAAGATGTCTTACAATTACTATTCAATGTCCTATAAAAATAGAGTTATTTCATTCTGCATATGCTTTTCAAACTTGTTTTTGTCTGCCATATATTTTCACATTTATACTTGGCAGAATTTATGACGTTTTATTTTCTTCAGCTGTGTTTGAAAATGCTGGCATAAAACTACCTAAGCGAGTACATAATGCTAATGTTCATATTAAAATATAGCAACAACATAATCTGGAGTGGTGATGACATTTATAAACTGATATTTGTAGTTTTTAGACAACCCCATCTGGGATTAATGATTTCTATACATTATTAAACCTTCTGGATATCTGTCTGCATATAAAATGGACTTCTAGTAATACACTAAGTTGCCTTCTATTTAGTCAGATAATTGATCCAACACTGATGGCCAGGAATGTACTTACTAGTGTTCCCTCAAGTTTGCCCCACATATTATTTTTCAGCAATTGCTACAGCCCATTAAGCACTGTTTTGCCTCAATAGCAAAAATAGAATTGCCTGCTAGTTAAAACTATTTGTTTTAACTAGCCTTTCATGAGAGCCCACTGCAGACCAAATTCCAATGAATTAAAGATAAGCAGCAGCCATGCATGACAACTGCATTAGACCCTATCCTTATACTCTGCCTTCAGAGAACTCTAAAGAACATGACAAAAATTATTATAAATACTCTGAATACTGAAAACATACCAATACTATAGGTTTTAGTCAGCATTTACACCTTCTAGCAAGAGCACACTGAGCGGAATTTTGCTCACAGTGAACTAGCTGGCAGGAAAGGGATCCATGGGGAGGTGAAAGGGAGAGAAAGTTTTTGCCACTTTTTTCAGCTTCATATGGTTCCTTTTTCTAACCCTCTGAGGCGGATTTTATGAGGGCACAGGGGACTATAAGTGAAGGGGAAATTTGTGAAAATCACTTTCTCCCTTGTGCTGCCAGCGAAAGTGCAGCTTAAAAGCCTTCTATAGAAAAGCCGACAGAGCCCCTACACCATAAGGCTTGAGGCTGATGTAGGCAAACCCAGTGGTGTGTGTGTGTGTGTGTGTGTGTGTGTGTGTAGGCGAGGCAAATAGTCAGCTGGGACCAGCTGTAGGGGAGGGGCAGCAGCAGCAGCCGCCGCCTCTTCATCCCAGCCAAGCTGTACAGAGCAGCCAAAAGGGCAGAGATGGGGCAGAGATAGGTGGGGGAGAGTTGAAGCAGAGGCAGTTAGCACAGGGCAGAAGTGTGAGGTCCTTGCCTAACAACCATGTGGTCCTTGCCTAATGACCACAACCAGGACTGCTGTCGCTAAGCAGCACGGTCTTGTGATGTTTCGCATAACAACTGCTTTCCTTAGCGATGGAAATTCCAGTCCTAATTAGGATCGTAACCCGAGAACTACCTGTATTCACAAATCTATACCTGAATTATTTCATCTGTACCTGAGAAAAGATTGTGATTGGGGTGTGGCAAGTTTCTACAAATGCTTGTTACAAACCATGTGTAGGAAATACCAGATGACTGGCATAAACACCACCAAACCACCCCTATTCAATAGACTGAATGATTGAGATACAAGTGGGATATAGAACATATAGAATATATAGATATTACTCTTTATGTGCTGTAGATAAATGATGGAATGTCACTTTTTAAAGTATACCCTATCAAAGCTTTGTAGAAGTACAAAAAATAACCAACACAGTTCTGACCCTGAAGATGCTGCAATATAGATCTTTTATGTTTCCCAGTTCTAAGAATGATAATCAAAGTGGTAACTGTACCATGAAAATAAAAAGCATTATAAAAATTTAATATGACCCTATGAACATGGTGGAGGATAACCATTACCTTCTAACGGATCAATATGGACCAGATGCTTTGGCTGCCTCAAAGGCACCTGAGTTGCTTTCTTACTTGATGGAATCCAACACAGAAATAAAATCTATAACATATCTCTATCAAAAGCTCAATAATATTTTTAAAGTAGACATTTCTGGAATATTTCAAACATGAACTTAAAGAACTGGAATTTCCAATGAAGCCCCATTAATAGTTTCATGTTCTTAAAAATGTTAAAATGATACCTAGAGATTTGAGATTAAAGTTGATTAATCAAAAAATTGTATTTAGGGTGTATTGGACTTCCCAAAGAAAGTATTTGAAAGGATGGACATAAGATTTTTCATGCTGGTGGTGTAAGAAATTTGAGGGCTCACTAATGCATACAATATGGTCATGTGACCATTTAGAATCTTTTTGGGATAGTATATTAATGTATATTAGTAGATAATGGGAAAATCTTTCAATGTTATAGATGCTATAATAATGTTGAATTATATACCAAAAGTTTGGAATTTGACTGTTTATCAGGAATTAGGGTTGAATGTAGGTAGCTAAAAGAATTATATTAAGAAATTGGAAAAGTGCTATTATTCCAGATATCAAGGAATGGTTGTCGGAAATGTGGGATCTACCTGTTTTGGAAAAGGCAATCTTTTCTGCTAATCAAAGAATGCAGCAATATGTGTTACTATGACAGGGATTCTGTGAGATCTTACAATAATAACTTGTATTGTTCATATTATAGCAGAGAATTCATTGGTAAACAGGTAACTATTGATAAGTTTAAAATACAAGATACATTTTTTTGTTTTTTCTTTTCCTTCTTACTTTGTATTTTTAGTTTGTACATTTTTTAATTTTTCTTTAAGATTAAACATTGTTTAATAACAGTACTGTTTTCACTTCTGCAGTCAGTTCTAAAGTCTTCGTGAAAATGTCTTTCTCAGATTTTAAATCTACTATTTAGGCTATCAAAATTCAACCTGTAATTAGGGAACTCATTACATATATTTGAATAGACTAAACACAGAACTTACCCCAATGTCTTCATCGCTCTGTATTAGCTGTGAATGTCCAAAGAGACGTCTCTTCAGAATTGGTTCTACCATAGTGAGATACACCATGTATAGTAGCAGAAGACCCAAGATGGACAAATATATTATGATGGTAATCTATATAATACAAGACAGCATTTCAATTTATGCCACTTCAGATCATACTCATTTGGGTTATATAGGCTGTCAAAGTAAACTAAAATGTCTAGCAAAATACAACACATGTGAATCTTATTTTCATTCATTTATCCCCAACATACAGAGGTTAATCAAAGAACTATAATTATGGATTTAGAATGGACTGAAAAAACAAAAATAAATGGACTGAAAAAAATAAAAATAACAGAAGACCACATTTTTTCTAAGGAAGAGAAGACACTGCAGGAAGATGAAACTCACATTTTCAAGTAATATTATTATAGTTTCCAGTTCCTTTGTCAAGTGTAATGTGGCTTTAAAAATTACTGAATATCAGCTAATAAAAGTGAGCATTGCATTTCATTTCAGATCATCATCTAGAAACAACCGAATAAGGTAGGAAGCACAAGCAAAAGAAAACATCTAACAGCATAATCAGCTTCTTGTACAAGTATAAAGAAATTTTTCTTAGAAGCATCATAATGTATGTTTAATGGCAAATATATCTGATATCAGCTATACTTAACAAGTGCAATCAGTCCCAAGCTCCTAGTACATACACTTGTACAACAAAGGTAATTTTATTGCATTCTCAACAGTATATATAATATTTTCCAAGTGTACTTTGAACTGGCAAGAAAGAGTATAATGATTCAAAGGCAGTTCGATTATTGTTAGAATAGTGTATATCCAGTTGGCTACAAAGTTCATAAAATTAATGCTAAGAAACTGAATCATATGGACTAGAGTTGAAAGGGCAAGCACTAAGACAGATAAGGACAGAATAACTTGTAATATAATGCAGTATATTTCAAAATGTTTCCAAAACCATGAACAAAAAAGCAATTCATGATTATAAATGAATGAATGGATAAATAAATAAAAATTAGAATTCTTAGCAGGTTACAGGAAATACCACCTTTAGATGTAGATAATGAACAAGGTAATATAACTTAGCACCTAAGTGCCATGATCAAGTTAATCTGTAAATCAATAACTTACAGTTTTCACAAAAAGAAAAGGATATTATATTTTGCAGATATGCTCTGCTTTCACTGTTTTATAATCTGACATACTATTTTAATACATGAGGATGTGGGAAAAAGAAATATGAACATTATTTAACAGAATTAAACAAAACAGTAATCAGATTTATAATTTACTTTTATTGTTTCAGAGCTTCTTTCCTCATACTTGCATTCACAACGCAAGCAATAGGCTTCTACATCCTGTCCAAGAACTGGCATAGGCTCCACCACATGAAGACAATCACTGCATGGAAAGGAAAAAATGTTTGGCATAGATTGAGATAAATTTATACCACTAGAGAGAAATATTCACCAATAAGAACACATACTGAATGTAACCCTGAATTAAGGGTTAACCAATCTATTATTCATTTGTATAAATGTTAGAAATACCTGACATTTAATCCACATAATATCAGTTTAAATTTTTAATTTGCTGCATTAGAATCTAACCTATTAGAGAATTAGTGGTTTCCAGGAAGCAAACAAATCTGAATTTAAATGCCAACATTAGAATGTATCAGAAAAGTGAGCTCCAAAATATTACCTTCCTCTAATCTCAGAACCTTACATCTTTCATCAACTATCATACCCTCCTCAATGGAGAGACAGCACCTACAGTCAGGTCCAGAAATATTGGGACATTGACACAATTCTAACATCTTTGGCTCTGTACACCACCACAATGTATCTCTCTGATGGGTTTGTTTTGAGGCACATATGCAAACTGTTGAACTTCCTACACCGTTCACCTGAGTTGGATGTACATACCCTCAAATTAAAGCTGACAGTCTGCAGTTAAGGCATATTGTGTTTGTTTCATTCCAAATCCATTGAGGCACATATGCAAACTGTTGAACTTCCTACACCGTTCACCTGAGTTGGATGTACATACCCTCAAATTAAAGCTGACAGTCTGCAGTTAAGGCATATTGTGTTTGTTTCATTCCAAATCCATTGAGGCACATATGCAAACTGTTGAACTTCCTACACCGTTCACCTGAGTTGGATGTACATACCCTCAAATTAAAGCTGACAGTCTGCAGTTAAGGCATATTGTGTTTGTTTCATTCCAAATCCATTGAGGCACATATGCAAACTGTTGAACTTCCTACACCGTTCACCTGAGTTGGATGTACATACCCTCAAATTAAAGCTGACAGTCTGCAGTTAAGGCATATTGTGTTTGTTTCATTCCAAATCCATTGAGGCACATATGCAAACTGTTGAACTTCCTACACCGTTCACCTGAGTTGGATGTACATACCCTCAAATTAAAGCTGACAGTCTGCAGTTAAGGCATATTGTGTTTGTTTCATTCCAAATCCATTGAGGCACATATGCAAACTGTTGAACTTCCTACACCGTTCACCTGAGTTGGATGTACATACCCTCAAATTAAAGCTGACAGTCTGCAGTTAAGGCATATTGTGTTTGTTTCATTCCAAATCCATTGAGGCACATATGCAAACTGTTGAACTTCCTACACCGTTCACCTGAGTTGGATGTACATACCCTCAAATTAAAGCTGACAGTCTGCAGTTAAGGCATATTGTGTTTGTTTCATTCCAAATCCATTGAGGCACATATGCAAACTGTTGAACTTCCTACACCGTTCACCTGAGTTGGATGTACATACCCTCAAATTAAAGCTGACAGTCTGCAGTTAAGGCATATTGTGTTTGTTTCATTCCAAATCCATTGTGGTGGTGTATAGAGCCAAAGATGTCAGAACTGTGTCAATGTCCCAATATTTCTGGACCTGACTGTATGTTATTTGGAAGTGGTAGCATCAATAAGAAATGTTAATCACTCAAAGAAGAGACTCAGGCACTCCTACCTGCAGATCCATCATGCCCCTAACTCCTCTTTACTCAAGCCATATTCTAAAGTAGGAGCATATTATAAGAAATGTCATTTGCCATAAAATCACAGGACATGCAATAATTTAAGAAAGAAGCTGTAGACTCTAGGGAAAAAATCCTTTTTTTTTTAATGGCAAGAATTATTGTAAAACTAAAAGAGGTTTCAAAAGAAAATAATTGTCATTAGGCAAGTGACTGTGGAAAAATAGGATTGACTGTTTCAGCTATAAGAACTCCGGCTAGCGGGGTCCAGAAGGCGGGCCTTCTCTGCTGTAGCCCCCGCCCTTTG